GATCCAGGATGATAGTTGTCAATTCATCAAGTTTATCACAAGCGGAGTGGGCGTTGCAAAGATAAACCGACGACAGGTTAGTTCTCTGCATACCTTTGTTGCGATCAGGGACAGATTGGATAGGAATGAGGTTGGCGAGGTTACAATTTCTGTCCACAGTCAAATTTACGTTCAATCGCAACAGGCTGATAATAGTTTGTATGATATGCTATCGGTGTCTGGATTTACTTATTCCACCTTTGCTTCCCCTAGGGGAACGTCAGATGCTAAGTTCATTTATTGTATTGCAGACATCTTTAGGGACACGGAATTGCAGCGTAGTAGAGCAGATGTTATACAGTTCGTTGATGCTGTAGCAATGAGAATTTTGCGCAAACGATGTGATGTGCACACTGTAAAATATCAATTAACATGTTCCAAACTACTTATAACCGAGAAATTAAGTTGCCACTATTAAGACGAAACTGCCCGTTACTGGCTTTGGCCCACGGCCTATACAGGTTGCCTGAATGGACACTTTTTTATCAAAGCATGTTTGCTTTTTATGCATGTCCAAATATGTAACGTGAGTATAAACCGATTTTGTGCATCTTGTTTATAACACATAACACATTTTTCTTGATGTCATCTTTGGTGCTTAGGTACATGTAGGTCTAGGTCTACTCTATCTACCATGGGATAACAGTTATTAAACCTTTTCAGTAAGGTAATTACAGCCCAAGGAAACTCAAAAGTACATCAAAAATGTAACGTGAGTAACCGTGGAATTGCCCATTTGTATGTTTTCATTTTAACAAACAGTTCTGGAAACAAATTTGTCTTTGAGAATAAAAACATCAACAACAAGAAAAGTGAATTCTTACAACACATAACCCCCAATACAGTATGCTTTGTAAATCATCCTGATGTCACATGACCCATGATGGCCACAAAAATTGAGTCAGTCGGCCCAGGTAACCGGAAGCAGGAGTATTTTTTGTTTCATCAACGGGTCATTCCAGGTCAGACCAACGCACTTTTTTACCTCATGTCTTCCGATTTTGATAAAAATTGCTGTGCTTGTAGGTCCTGATGAGCAATGAATGCGCACCAATTTTTAGCCCGATCCGACCTACCATATGGTTAAGGCAGAAACCACCCCAAAAAAATGGAAATTTTTAGAGTAAAATACCACCCTTTTGGTAGAAATATGTCAAAACCGTGTCAATTTTCATCGAATATGCGAATTTGGTATCAAAATAATAAGAATTGCATGCTCACATCAACTCTTTTGTCAAATTAAATTTTGTGAAAAGTAGGTCACTTGACCTTAAATATGTTATCATAACCTTTGACCCAATTTATGTACTAATGTATCATTCCGAAAATTAACGAAATGAAAATGACTTGATAGAGCATGTCTTCCTCTATTAGAATCCACTAAAAATCAATTGGGGTCTTTAAAATTTACAACTTTTTGACTATTTATGTACAGTCGGTGGGTTACAAATGAGTCAATTTATAGACTTTACATTAGAAATCCACCCACACATTTTACTATTCTGTTTCTAAAGGTACGTAAATTAATCTTGGTTTGGGAATTTCTCATGATTAGGGCTGATGAGGCATAACCAGATTCATAATATATAAATTATCAGCAGTGGCGCACCCAGGATTTTGCTTTTTTTTGTGGGGGAGGGGGGGGGCTCATAATTTGTTTGTTTTCAAATTTCTGTAGAAGATTGAAAAAAAAAATTACCCCAAAATCAAACAAACAAATTGACAACCTTGGGGATGGGTTCCAGCCCCTCTGCCCCCCCCCCCCCCCCCCCCCCCCCCCGTGCCACTGATATTAGTTATCCCACGAGTGCGCTTTGATAATTGAGTGGTCGGGTACAACCCGACCACTCTTTGGAGTTGTTGCGATTAATCTTTCTTTCTTTCTTTCTTTCTTTTCCGTACAGCACGTTTCCGCAGGTTTTCTCCTAGACGGTTTATAATAGGAACTTGTAACTGTCAATATATATCGACCCTCATCCTAAGTGGTGCATATTACTCTGACGTCATTATGACGTCATCGGGTGTTAAATTACAAGCGATTTTACCTGAAAAAGTGACCAATTACTTTCAACTATAACTCTTGAACAAAGTTATTAATAGTAATAAATAGTAATTAATAGTAATTAAATGTATTCTGTAATCAGATAGACCATGAAGCTATAAACATTTTTTGTTGTGTACGTGAAGTCGCTTGACCTTTACTTCCGGGTCTACTGGAAGGTCAAAGTTAGGTGAATTCAAAATGAAGACGTTGACCTGAAATCAAAAAAATGCAAAATTTCTTCCGAACGGTTTACGGTATGATCACAAAACCTTGTATGAACTTGTACCATGATACGAAGATGCTATACATTTTGTTACGTCATCATGACCTCATCAGGTATCAAATTACAAGCGATTGAAGGGCAAATTTTGACAAAATAGTTTGTTTTATATCTTTTGAACCGAATAAAGTATCGTGTTCGTTTTTTCGTGAGGTTGTAGAGAGAGAAAATTGCCGTGAGAAAATTGTGTGTTCCCGGACACAAAACCGCTTGACTTTTACTTCCGGTGTTACCGGAAGTGCAATAAATACTGAATATAACTCAAAAGCGGAAGCATTTTACTACAGACATATATAGTATGGAAGTGTTTAGTGAGGAATGGCAGACACGGAAAACAGTGTGATGACGTCATCATCCGAAAGGGCGCCCCCTAGCAGCACATAAAATAGTGTATATTTTCTTTAATTTTAAAACCATAGGTTCAAATTTTACCAAATCGCCCCTTGATATCTTTCGATTGACCATAGATAACTGGGCGAGGTTTCAAATTCATGACGTCATCAGACCGGAAGTTACTTCTATGAGAATTGGCCAACGATCATATTTTAAGTGAAATTCTATCATTTGATCCATGTTGTATATCTTAGTCCAAATAACGATACCATTACAGTGTTCTCTTTTGCTTCCAAATACTGTGACGTCATCAAACCGGAATTTTGGTGTTATGAATACATACACTTATATTTTTCCAAATGTTCATATGTTATTTAACTTCACAATGAACATCCATTCCGAACTGTAAATCAGTATTCACTTTCCGTTTTTGACTATAATGAAGATATCAAGCCAGAAATGACTTGTATGTGTACATAAAATGTTTACTGAAATTTATCAGACCATTAAAAATGTATTTTTAAACAAAATAATTAATTTTGTGATCCTTTGTTCTTACATACAATTCATAACTTAACTGGACAGTGTTTCATAAAATAATTGTCTGCCCAACCACTCTGCGTTTGTAACAACAAACGCGAATCTCTAGTTTATATTATGAATCTGGTTATACCTCACCAGCCCTAACCATGAGAAATTCCCAAACCAAGATTAATTTAAGTACCTTTAGAAACAGAATAGTAAAATGTGTGGGTGGATTTCTAATGTAAAGTCTATAAATTGACTCATTTGTAACCCACCAACTGTACAAAAATAGTCATAAAGTTGTAAATTTTGAAGACCCCAATTGATTTTTAGTGGATTATGATTAAGGAAGATATGTTCTATCAAGTCATTTTCATTTCGTTGATTTTCGGAATGATACATTATTACATAAATTGGGTCAAAGGTAACGATAACATATTTAAGGTCAAGTGACCTACTTTTCACAAAATTTAATTTGCACAAAAGAGTTGATTTGAGCATGCAATTCTTATTATTTTAATACCAAATTTGCATATATTCGATGAAAATTGACACGGTTTTGACATATTTCTACCAAAAGGGTGGTATTTTACTCTAAAAATGTCCGTTTTTGTGGTTTCTGCCCTGACCACATGGTAGGTCGGAGCGGGCTAAAAATTGGTTTGCATTCATTGCTCATCAGGACCTACAAGCACAGCAATTTTTATCAAAATCGGAAAACATGAGGTAAAAAGTGCGTTGGTCTGACCTGGAATGACCCCAATGTGAAACAAAATGAAAGCTTTTGAAAAGCATATTTTTCCATGAGTGCGACTGCACTCTGAGTGCATATTTTTTTTTAGTCCAAGAAGTTAGTTTTTAGTCCAACTTAGATTTGTTCAACCTTTGATTTAACAATTGCAACCCCGGGGGTCCTCAAACAAATGCACGTACACACATGCATGTATACACGTAAACACACTGTATTACATTGCATATGAAAGGGGAACTCCCGAGCATTGATATGAGTAGAGGTCGCTGTTCATATGGGTCTGTACAGGATGAGTCAGAATGATCTGGACCCAAATTAAAGAAAATATTAAAAAACTAGACTTACATGTATGTTTGTGGACAAACACAGGGCTGTTTCGGTTATTTTTTGTGACATGTGACATGTGACATATAAAGTTTCAAGTATAAGTTCCATCCAGGAAGGATGTGTAGTTCTGTTTATAACTGGTGGCATATAATAATGTGATTACATTCTCATAGGTCTTTGAATTATGACGTCACATGTGACGTCATCAATTTGACGTCATCAATTTTCATCTATAACTATATTTTTGTTTGTAAGTAACAACTAAGCCATAGCATACATCGTTGAAAGCAAGTTCACATCTTTCACCAATTTTAAATTACAAGACACTTCCGGTTTCAACCGGAAGAAAGGGTCACGTGATTTTGCACATAACAAATGAAGACCCTGGATTATTCTATCGATTCCTGCAAACGTCAAGTTCAGGTCTCTCACAGTTGATTTTATATTGATTTTTAAAGATTAAATCTATTAATTTTTAACGTGACGTCATGTGATCCATGGATGACGTCATCGTGACGTCACTTCAATTTTCATCTTTAACACATCCAGGTTAAGGTACATACTAAGTTTCAACCTTTTCGAACCTGCATTTATGGCCTTCAAAATATGGACCTATATTGTGACGTCACATGTCACGTGATGACGTCATCGTAACGTCACTTAAATTTTCATCTACAACACATTCCGGTTTAGGTACATACCAACTTTCAACCCAATCGGACCTGTAGTTCTGGAGATATAGCCCAATCTGTCAGATCTAGCCGAATTCTGCTAGAAAATGATCACAACAGAAAAAAACGCATATAATGTCAATGTTCGGCACACAACTTCAGATACTGGTTTAAGTGTGTGCCAAGTATAAAGTGCCGGTAACAACGAAACGTGTACAAATGCTATGGACAAAATGACTGAAAAAGAAAAAAAAATAGAGATCTATGTCTGTTTGCAACAGAACATAGGGCTTTTCCGCATGATAATCTTTTTTTATCAATAACACATCCTTGATAATGCATCTATGTGTACAAAGTTTCAATCGAATCAGACTTGAAAGAAACTGTGACAATTGTAAATTTATTGAAATGTTTTTCCTCACAAACTTTTTCTCTGTATGACCGAAAACACAAAGTATAGTATACAGATACATATACATGTGTTGTACAGTCTAAATGCACCATTTGTTGTCTAGTTTTCAAGTGAATTTTCCAAAATTAAACCAACTGTCTTCATAAAATCACACATTCATAGCTGGATATGTCCTATCTATCCCATCTACGAATTAAGACGATTGCAAAACAAAACGTACATAAAAAGGAACTATGCATGACATGAAACAAATTAGCATCCTCAAAACGAGCCACCCCCCTGAAATTATATATGTTTGTACGTGCATAATGATTTGCTGTACACCTTCCTCCGACCGCGTACAAGCTAAAAGAAAAGGCAGAAAACCTACGAAAATGTCGCCACAAGGACTAGCACAAGCTAATCAAATGAAAGCTCGTTTCTTTCTTTATCGATGTGTGGTGATAATTTGTTGTCCTAATCTAGTCAAGTCACAGCAAAGGAACTAAAAAAGAACAACCAAATTCATCCTCAAAATCGCACCCCAACTTCTAGTGAACCAAATTCTGCCCAAATATACTGTGATGAATCATCAACTATACGTTTTATACATTAACATGAACTGTATAGTGACTTTTCTTTAGTGCCCAGTCACTCATACTAGAACATCAGCATTTAATTGGCCAGCGCTGTTAGTGGGCGTGGCTTAAGTCATCTACTAAGCAATACTGCATTTTCATTGGTTGAGGCACCCTGTGTACTTTAGTAATGAGGGGCATTTATTGTATGTGAATGTATATGACCATGTTGGCCTATAAAAGGCACAGTTCAAGAGAATAAATCTCACTTCTTCGCCTGGTGGGACCAAAGAAGTCAAAGAAGTCTCCTGTCTCTGTTTTATTGTCAAATTGTCACTAATTAGGGTGTAAGTCTCCCCCACTTGAGCCACTAGAGCCACTTAAGCCACTTGAGCCACTTAAGCCACTGGTTAGCCACCCTGAGCCACCGGTCAGCCACCCAGAGCCACCGGTCAACCTCCCAAACCACAGGCTAATCCACCCAAAACCACAGGTTAATCCACCCAATCCCCTAAATCCCAAACACAAGTTGAGTTAGCGCTTTCCCCTGGTGGAGCAGAGTTGGGAGTGCTGTTCGTCACTTGGTGCTGTGGCCTCCAACCGCAGGTGCTTCAACTCCATCGGGACTGGGCCAGAGAGGCAAGGGACCGACTAGGCGACGCACGTTACATTGGTGGCAGCGGTGGGATCCACTGAGAGTGACGGGACAGCTAGCCAAAGGAACCACAGGGTGAGAGGGGTCAGGATCTATCTACCAGAAGCAGTGATTTGAGGATTCAGGGTGGACGTGGAGAACCACTAGTCACAGCAACAATGGACAGCAGAGACAGGATGTTGGAAGAAAGTGTGGGATACTTTGAGACGACACCAGCCAGGGTGACCAGCAGAGCAAGCATTAGGCTACACCCTGCGGTAACACCATCGCCTCCTATATTGACACCGGCAAGATCTGACGAGAGGATGCCGGGTGTTGGCATCAGGGCGCAGGAGCCAGTGACGGCACAAAAGCTCTTCCAACAGACCGGAAGAGTTGGGGAAGTGATGACACCTACGGTCGGCACAGCGGAGGCCTTTCCTCAGGCAAGATTCATGTCAACACCAGTGACATGGGGACCGGGGGTGGTAGAGCAGCCAGTCTACCGGAGTTTGACTGATTGGGGTGGAGTAGAACCAGCAGAGGTTCGACGGCAGAGACCTACTGGAACGAGCGATGGTCTGGTGGAGTCTGGATGGCCCTCGGCCCGGCCAAGGATGCAGGCTCCAGGGGAAATGCCAGGTAGCTTAAACACCCCACAGTTGGCGTTTGATGCGAGGTGTAAACTGCAGCAGCAGTTGGGAGAGGCGCCTGAACATCAGACGTGTACAGCACCACAGCGGGTGGTGGAAGAAGTCAGGAGCACAGGGCAGCACCTGAGGAAACCAGTGGATCCGGGAGAGAAAGGATCAGTAGAAAAGAAAACTCTGCCTGAACAAAAGGGGCAGGACCCACCCAAGAGAGCAGCAATTGCAGGGCCAGAAGGAACCAGCAGAGTTCATCGGAAGCCAAATATCGTGCCGGATCGATTCGCCGGGGTGGTGCCATGGAGAGACTACAAATCTCATTTTGAGTCATGTGCAGTTATTAATAGCTGGACGGCAGAGGACAAAGCTTTCTTCCTGGCAGCGAGTCTCAAGAGTCAAGCACAGCAAGTGCTGGGAGACAGGGCTACAGGAGAAGTGCTGACCTATGCGGAACTCACAGCAAGACTAGAAAGACGTTATGGGCCTGGTGAGCAAGCCGAAACGTACCTAGCCGAGCTTAGGAGCAGAACAAGGACAGAAAACGAAAGTTTGCAAGCGCTGGGGCAGGGAATACGTCGACTCACGGAGCTGGCGTATCCTGAGCTGCCCCGAGATAGCAGAGAGCGTCTGGCACGAGGGTATCTGGTGGATGCCATACCTGATGCAGAAATTAGAGCGGGAATCTTCAGAGGGCACCCTAAGACGTTGGATGAGGCGATCAGAGCTGCACTGGAGACCGAGTCTTTTCTGAAAGCGGAGAGACAATGGCAGCGAAACCAGGGTGGTCGCCCAGACAGAAACAATCGAGTCACAAGACAAGTGGAGATTGTCTCAAGGGATGAGTTCGAAAGGCAAACACGGGCAATGTCGGAGCAACTGAGGCAGGTGCATCAGATGTTGGCCGGGCTAACTCAAGCAATGCAGAATGACACACGGCGCCCTGAACAAGCCGACTTCGAACAGAAGCGTCAAAAACTAGCCTGCTACCACTGTGGAAACACGGGGCACTTTAAGAGAAACTGCCCTGAACTGAAGAACAGCGCACCGTCGGGAAACGACTCCGGACCAACCCAGGGGGTCGTGGGAAGGTCGGCAACACAAGACCCCAAACCTGTGATACAGATCCAGAAAAAGGTAGAGGATGGCGGAGAACTTCCAAAGAAGCAGCTCCACCCAGTACCACTGCCAAGTGAAGTTGCTTCATATGGGGTATTCGTGCCGGGTGAAATTGGGACACATCCACTGCCATTCCTAATAGACACTGGGTCGTCAGAGACATTGATAGACACAAAAGAGTACAACCTGATGGATCGAGAAACCAGACCTATACTGACACCGGTCGATGAAGTTATCCGCCACGCCGATGGGAAACCACTCCCAGTAAAAGGAAGTGCCCAGATGGAGATACAAATTGGAGGATATAAAGCGGAGGTGGAAGTCTTGGTTGCATCCATCAGAAACCAAGGAATACTCGGCATGAATTACCTTCTGACAACTGGCAGTGTACTGGACTTGAGGCATCGGCAATTGAAGATTGGGGAGCATGTAATTCCTTTACAAGGAAAAGATCAGACAAGCATTTTCAGCTGCCGAGTGCGAGCAGACAGGACTACAAGGATACCACCCGGGCATGAAGCAATCATCACTGGTGTCCTGGACGAGAAGAAAGACCTCCATGGATGGGGGATCATCGAGCCAAATGACATAGTCAGGTGGCATATGGTCGGAATCGTGACCGACTGGTCCAAAGCACCAAACTTTGCAGATAGATTCTTATAGCCCTAGAGAAGATATTTAGAAGGGGTGACACCTGAAATTCTTTTGGGAAGGGTGCCTAATTTGCATAAATCGTTAATCCCTGCCGTGTAATATATTTATTCCCATGTTTGGGTATATTTCTATTTTTTTTATTTTTTTGAAAAGTGTATTTTGGTGATTCTACTTGCATATTCTTACCTCAATAACATTTTGTAAAACATATAAGTGACTGAATAATTAGGAGGACAAAGTAAAGAACCAAAATTGCTACTATGTTACCCTAAAGTTACGCGCATTTACCTTTTCTTCAGATATAATCAACTAGTCCTAATCAACTAGTCAATTGATGAGCTTCAAATTGATGAGCTTCACAAAGTTAATTACTGGCATAGTTACCCTAACAAAAATAAGTGGGAAATCAAGTGAAAATTGATAACATCTTGATGTTTAGCCCAAAAGACCAAAAAAGGGGAGAAAATGTGATGTCCGTAAATTGGGCTAGTACGGGAAGGGTAACGTGGGGACTTGAACAAGTTCAACGAAATCCCCCTAAAAAAGAGATTATTGTTGTTTACAATCATTTTGTCTACGCCAAAACGTTTTCTCAACCATAATTTTGGGAATTTCCTTGAACTTGTTACAGTGTTCCTTGTTAGGGAACCCTTCACCTACTTGTTAGCCCAATTTATGGGCACCTCGTTTTTTCCCAGTTTTTGTTTTCTGGGCTAAATATCACAATGTTATCATTGTTCACATGATTTTGCATAAGGTTTTAATATGGTAACTGTACCAGTAAGCTACTTGGTGAATTTGAAGTTCATCAATGCTGATGTTTGGCAAGACAAATTGATGATATCTGGAGACAAGGTAAATGCGCGCAATTTTAGGGCATAATAGTAGCCATTTTGGATCGTTACTATGTCCTCATAATTATTCAGTCACTTATATGCTTTGGAAAATGTTATTTAAGTAAAGATATGTAAGTAGAATCCCCAAAATACACTTTTCAAAAAAATAAAAAAATAGAAATATACCCAAATATGG